TCCAAAGGGGTAGGGGAAGTGGGAGGGTAGGGCACAGGAAAGAAGGGAAAGGGAAAATTAAGCAATGGAAAAAATGGAAACAATGTCTTTGTAAATAGGGAATTGGGGGCATGGAAGACAGGGAATGGGGAAGAAATAATAACCAGGATACATCATGTAAAGGTACAAGAACCCAATGATAAATGGTAATGTATTGTATACCTAAAATGTACCAATAAAAGAATTTAAGAAAAAAAAAGAGAGAGAAAGAGACAGAGGCAGCTGAGTATGTAGCTCACTACAGTGGCCCTGGGTTGAGTCCCTAGCAGAGAGAGAGAGAGAAAGAGAGAGACAGAGATAGAGACAGAGAGAGAGAGAGAGAGAGAGGGAGGAGGGATTCGTTAGTGCAAGTAGTTAAATGTTGATAAAGCTGACAATGAGAACTTGAACTCAAAATGTAAAATATGTGTATTTTTCAAAACTTAAGGAATGTATAGGATGCACATATTAAAAAGTGTCAAATATTCTAAAGACAATCAAATTAATTTTAAATAGAGATACCGTATTTCTATGTGTAACAGTGATATTTTGAAAGTACATGTTATTTACAAATTAAAGTAATATAAATTTAGCTAATTTTACAAAGTTATTTTTCCAATTTGGGAAATAATATCAGTTCATCTGAAATTTTTTTTTGAAGAAACTACTTGAGAGATACTAAGAGTGAATTTTAGTGACCAAACTTTCAGACACAGCGTAAGAGAAATACTTTAGCATTTCACAGATATGGAAACCAACACATCACTAAAACAGAACAGAAAGTTTGCAAATATACCTATTTGGAAAAAAAATTAACATGAAATAAAAGTACTAAATCTCTTGGGTAAAAGTAGATTATTCTACAAGAAGCAGACTCTACAAAAGGAAAGGTTCTTCTGTCAGCATTATTTAAAAATACTTCCACAGCAGACACACCCACACTCTCCCTGACTCTGCCATCAGATGCCCTGTGCCGCCCAGGGCTCTGCCAGCAAGGAAGCTGTCACCAGATGCAGCACTTCAACCTCGGACCAAAACTATGAGCCCAAACAAACTTCTTTGCTTCATAATTCAAAAAAATTCTACATGAAACAATTCACAAATTAAGACCAAATACAAAGGCAAAGCAGAACCAACAAGAATTTTTTTTGTAGAAGAGATGACATTTAAAAGTTTTAAATCCTTATTATGTAGCCGAGACTTCATAAATTATGTTTAAGAAAAATATGAAAATGAGTAAAGGATATGAATGAAGACCTGAAAGAAAGAGAGAGAGAGAAAAGAAAGAAGGGAAGAAAGAGAAAGAAATAAATACAAGCACAAATAAATATAGCAAAATTAATAACTTCACTACTAAGCAAAGAACTACAAATTAAAACAATATTATTTTCACCCATAAAAATTTCCTTTTTTCCTGAAAGCTGAGAGATTCAGTCGTTAGCACTGTTGGGGGTAAATTTCTCTATTATTTTGGAGATAATTGAATTGATTCAATTTTTCTGGAACACTTTGGCATGCTTTTCAAAAACATAAAAGTACTCAAGCTGTTTGATTCAGTAGTTTTACTTTTTTTTGTATTGGGGATAGAACTCAGGACCTTGTGCTTGCAAGGCAGGCGCAGGTGCCACTGAGCCAAATCCTTGGCCCCTAATAGTTTTACTTTTAATGCCTTATTCTAAGGAAATTTCCAAGAGCAGATATTCCAAGGAAATTCATTGTGGTCTTCATCAATAGTATAACAAATTAGAAAATAAACTAATTATTCAACAATAGGAACTCAGTTGAATAATTGTGATATATGTCTATAGTGGAATCTTATGCAGGGATTAAAATATTGCATAATTAAGGAATAATAAAAATGCACATGCTCTGCTGTCAAGGGAAATATGCAGACCACAAAGAAAAATGAACAATAATATCTTTTTTCTCTTTTTTATTTTCTGAGACAGGGCCACCCCTATGCAGTCAGGCTGTCCTTGTACTCACTGTGTTGCCCATGCTGGCCTCAAACTCAAGTCAATCCTCCTTCTGCAGCCTCCTGAGTGCTGGGATTTCAGGCATGCACCACCACGCTCAGCTGAGATCTTAATTTTTTTTTGTTTGTTTGGTTTTTTTTGGTACCAGGAATCGAACTCCAGTACTTGTGCTTGTGCAGCAGGTGGCGAAACCACTGAGCTAAATCCCTGGCCCTGAGATCTTAATTTTTAAGAAGGAGAAAATGCCTAGAACCTGCATAGATCAGCACCAAAATGACACTGTTTTTTTTTTTTTTTCTGGCTCGTAGATTACGAGTGACTTTAATTTTCTCATTCATAATTGCCTTAGTTTGGTAGACTTTTTTCTATAGTGAGCATCCATTAATTTCTTCATTGCTCAGGATAAAATTATATTTCATGTTATTTTACATGAGACATGTTTGTATTCTAAAAACAGAAATGGAATGATTAAAACTACTTATTAATTTAAAGTTTGAAGAAGAAATCTCTCTTCACTGGTTTCTTCATTACTACTAAATTGAATAATCTAGTTTTTCATTTACTCTGATGTAGACACAAATAGAATACACAGTATAATCAGGCACGAAGGATGGGACTAATTAGCAAACTAATTACATAAATCAGATCACAGTTTCAACAACCATTTCCTCTTTTTGAGAATGATTTTTTTTGTTTGTAAAAACAATAAAATACCAACCTTTAAAAATTAATCCTGTCAAGGAGTAGGGAAAGTGGGAGGGTTGGGGGAAAGGGAAGAAGGGAAAAGAAAAAAATATCAGAAAAGAAAAAAATGGAAATGAAGTTTTTGTAAATAAGGAGGGGTGGAGAGGGTGAAGGGAGGGCAGGGGAATGGGGGAAAAGTAAGAACCAAGATACATCATGTAAAGGTATAAGATCCCAATGGTGAATGTAACTGTATTGTATGCCTAAAATGTACCAATAAACTTAATGGAAAAAAAAATCCTGGCAAGTGATGCTTAAAAGGTTGTGTAATGTCCTGAGGAAAGATTTAGAATATACAGGTTAAAGAGAACTTTGGAAAGATGGACAGATTTGAGTTCAATATTTAACTCTTCTCCAAATATTTAAAATTATTCTCAAAAAAGGAAACAAAGAGTTGAAAACATAACACAGTCTTGTCCATGTGAGCTGTGCATTCACGTTGCCCCATAGGAGAGGAGTTAGAGAGCTGATATATAATGAGTTGTGCTCTTCAGGAACTTACGGGGTAAGGAGAGGTGGCTGGAAGGTTTGTTGGGAAGGCATGCTGTGATTGGGGGAAGATAATCTGAGGGGCTGGCAGGTTGCTCAGGTGGAAATCTCCAGCAGGCATTGGGAGTGTGGCACTGGGCCCTGAACCAGGCTTATCAGTGGGGATGACAATGATGGAGAAGTCAGCTACCTGAGTGTGACAGCTGCAGCACTGTGAACACCTGAGTTCCCAGCAGAGCTCCCAGCCTCCTGTTGCACAGCTCTAGCTCTGGGGAACACTCTTCCCTTTCTGTCCTCTGGAGTGATATTCCTGGGCGAATCACTCACATGGGCTGCATTGTGAGCAGTGCCCCTTCCACCCTCCAGCAGCCAACGTGGCCTACACTGGAGGCTATCTCTAGGGACGGCTAAACAGAAGTGCAGTGACTCACCCTGATGAAATGGGGAGAAGTCAGCCAACTGGTAACAGATGGCGAGAGAAATAAGGTAGAATCAAGGGAAGTGATGGGGGCAAGATTTCAGAAAGTGTTCAGCACAGGTGTCTAATGGTGTAGACAGACCTGAGGAAGTGAGAAGTGGGATGGGCCACTGTTCCTGGAAGTAGATAGAAAAGGAAAATCTTGGAGAGAGCAGAGGCCTTTGAGTAGGGGAAGAAGACGTCAAGGCCACTGGAAGCAGAGGCAGGTGCCCGGAAAGAGTGAGGATTGTGGGGTCAGTGTGAGCATCACTGAATGAAGGGCTTTTGTTTCTGTTTAGGGAAACCTGAGCTTGTGTCTGTGGAGAGCAAAAGAAATCAAGGGAGAGGGGAATACTGAACATTTGAGAAAATGAGGGGATGACTGATTAAACAGACAGAACCTGGAAAACAGCTGGATGGGATGGATCAATACACCACAGTCAGGATTGGCCCTGGCAAAAGCGAGGGACACTCATTTCTCAGAGGTAGGATGAACAGCTCACTCCTTCCAGAAGAGAAATGTCTGGTCTAGAGAATCATCCAGTCCAACTTAAAATCTGTTTGGAATGTGAAGTAAAGGGAGATACCCAAAGTCATTCATGAACCTTGTAATGAACTTTCAAAGTCAGTAACCTTCCTAAATTAGATTCAGAAATAGTTGTAAGCTATCTTAGGCAAGACAATGCTAACAGTATGCTTTAGTGAAGTCACTACCAGGTGTAAAGAACAGAGGATTAATTTTGAGATGTTTCCAATAGGCCAGTGATGGATGTGGATTCATTGGAGGCAGTGCAAAAGGCAGCTTGACAAAAAGGATGTTTTTGTCTTTAGTGAACTGTACTCAGTTTTATCAAATAGTGCTTTAGTATTCTGTGTCCTCTTTCTGCTACTTAAAAAAAAGATAAAGTCAGTTCAGGTATATCCTGAGATAACTCTCAAGAAAAAGAGTATTGAATAGAATACTGAGTTTATTGGTTAACAGTTTAGAAAAATACGATACCTGATAGGATCCTTTCTATTAAATAGAAAGAATAGGATTCTATTTAATGCCTTAGAATTTTGTGGTAGTACTAGCAACAGCAGTATATTTGTGAGTTCTTTCAGTTGGTTCACAAAAGCTATAGCACCATAGCTGTGAATGCACTGTGAAACAGATTGTTTGTTGGTTTTGACTTAGAGGCTGGGTTAAATTTTCTGCCCCCAGTTCTAAGGATCTTGGTACAAATCTATAAAGCGATTTCACATTTATTTTTTTGAAATGATAGGCAATTCTCAGTGATTCACTTATAAATCAGGCATCTTTTAACAAAATAGTAGAATAAGGGGTCTTACATTAAACTTTCCAAATATAAATCATCTGTAGTTCTTTTATTTTTTATTTTAAGGCAGGATTTCCCCAGTGTTCACCAGCCTGGGCTTGAACTTGTGTTATCTTTCCTCAGGATCCTGGAGAGCTGGGATTAAATGGTATGTGCCACCACTCCCAGCTGCAACTTGCTTTTTATAGGTAGTCATAGGTCTTTGAAGTCTTTGCATTTAAATAGGCATAGAGCTACTTTACAATTTTGATCTGATAAAGACTATTTTACCATATAAATGCTCTATAGTTTGTTTTATATTGTTGTCTTCAGATAAATATTTGACTTATTTCAAAATTTGCCACATCACAAATAATGCTAGGGTATACAACTCCATTATGCAGATATTCTAGGTTTCTTTAGGATATGTAGAGAGAGTATGTGCATTTTATATTTTAAATATTTACAAAATATTCTCTAAAGTGATTGTACTGACTCTCTCCCTCACTAAAAACTTTTTATTTTATGAGGAAGGTGAGGCACAGAGATTTTGATATCTCTGTAAATATAAAAATTCAGTCATTCTTTCCCCTTTATATATTTCTAATTACCTATACCATTTCCCCAAAATTTGTAGAACACAAAAAGAATATATTGTTAAACTAGTTGCCATGGAAATTTGGTTTATATTTTTCCTATTTTTTTGCCAACTTTGAAAACTAGCTCTGTGTGACCATTTAAATCAATGAGTTGAAGGATAATAAAAGTATAGTTATCAAATTAGCAGTCATGGGAAACTACTCTGAACACAAAATTCTTTGCTTGTCTGTTTCAAGTTATTTTTCTTTGTTGTGTGATCTCTGTTCTCACATCTACTAAAATTTTTATGGTTGGAGTATTTCCTAATATAATTAGAATTCCCTTGGTTTAGAAATTTCATTTTCATAAGCTTATCAGCAGGACCGTCTTTATTTCTTCATTTGATGTTTTTCCAAATGTAAGAAAATATGCATAGTGGGTTGATTAAAAAATGCAAGTAATATACTTGAAAAATTAAACCTTGGCTTTCAGAATAAATAATTTTAATGGTGTTTGGGTTCACTTTCTGTGAGTTCTTCCATGTCCAGGGGTCAAATTGGGTTGCAATCATTTGGTAAGTTGGGCTAAAACATTTGCTTAACCTCATTTGCTGGTTTGGTACAGGCAGGGTTGAAAGTTCTTGACCTGGAAGAACACATTGTTTAAACTCTCTCATTTGAGAAGAATGGGGCCCAAATCATATATATTTTTAGATAAATAATATGTTTTTGTATCCACTTAGTGTCAAATTGATGTCTAAGTAAATTTCCGTAGGAATCAAAAAATATAAGAAATGTAATGAAATATTCATTGGCCACTGTGTAGAGGTAAGGAACAGGGTAGACAATTTCATGTTTTACCTAATGAATGCTTAGAAGACACCCATGCAGTAAGTTTTATTTGACTTGTTTTCCATGTCAGGAAATGGAGCGTTAAGGAGGGAAAAATAACACTAGTAATAAATACAGAGCTTTGCTAGTTTTCCTTGCATCTTTTCAACCGTCCGTACTTTGATAGAAATGAATGAAAGCTGGAGCAAAGAAAGCCTCTTGGAAGAAGTGGAGTTTGAGCCCAGTACAAAAAGAAGGCCATGATTAAATGGAGAAGAAGGAGGAGCTAGCAATTAAGGAGAGGGAGGAGTTTCTACAAAGGCACTTAGATGAAGACAGGTGTGATGCTCACATATAGTTTACCATATTTACCTGTCAATCTGACTTTTTTGGATAATATAATTTTGGAGGATAAAGAGCTTTGGCAAAATGTTTAGTGGGGCCTCGTGAGGAAAAGCGGCCAAAAATTAGAAGATAGGAGCTCAGAAGGCTCTTTGTATCTCTAGAAAACTCATTGTCTCTCCTTTCCTTCTTGTGACCTTCCTACTACATGCTTTTGTTCTTATTTTTTTATTTCATCTCTCCAGACTTCCCTGTTTGCTTTTCCCAGTGTGTGGTCAGCCTAGCTACAGCAGAGGTGCACTAGCCTCAGTAGCCTTAGTGCCAGATTCTACAGACCGGATGCCCATCCTTGGCTCATGCTATGATGAGGAAAATAGCTTTGAGTGCTCACTTATCTTGGTCTAAGAGCAGGTTCTTTGATAGCATGGTACAGCCAGCTTCTCTAAGGAGGAACTGATTGGCATTTGAACCACAAGGAGCAAGAGAAATGAGAGGTCAGTGTGGTCAGACATTTTATGGAATATCTCAAAGGCCAGTGGAAAGTCTTGCACTTGAGCCTGTCACTGACAGAGGAAGGGTTGCAAGGTGAAGAGATTTGGAGGAGGGCAAGTTGAAGAAGTGGAGTGCCTGAGGTACTGAGGCAAGCAAAGAGATGTTGACAGTGACGTGGGCACAGGACAGATGACTAGACCCACGGAGATGAGGGAGGAATGTGCCTGCTGAGAAGACAAGGAGTTGCTTTGGAAAGATCTGCAAGATTTATTGATTAGTTACAAGCTAAAGGCAGCTTTGGGCTCCAGGCATAGGGACTAGGTTGTGTGCCCTTGGGAGATACAGAAAGAAGAAACAGGGAACCTGACTGTTAAGAAAGTGAGAACATGCCTGGTTTGGGGAATGTTGTCTCGGGTTCAGTTGTGGCATGGAAACACTGGCCATGGGTTACAAGTGGAGTACAGAGTGAATAGAGTAGGATGTGAAGTCATGTTAATTGGGAGGTAATGAAATAATGTGGGCTGTGGGAGCTGCTTCTGGTGAAAACAGGAAGTCAGTGGCCAATAGCCTTATATCCAAAGTTGCATCACTGTGGGACATGCTATTTAATTCTGGGTTTATGACATGATTTCAGTGAACTTCCAGGTGGCTAGGATGGGATTTCAGTTGGTGAAACACACGCAAAATACCGTGGCATAGAATAAAGCTTTGGGCTTGCTGAAGCACAGTGCTGTAGATGAATTTTCTTCCCTAGTGAAAAATCTAGCAGCAAGTCCAACACTGTGGATAAGACTGAGGCTGGAGCCTGCTGTGCTAGGCTGATGGCCAGGGATTCACAGGCATGCATTAGACAACAAATGCAAACAGCAAACAGTTAAAGTTTCAAGCTCAAGTCTAAATAAGTCTTCCTCATGGACTACTAGGACCTAGGCATTCCTTTAATGCAGGCAACATTGTTCTGAAGAAATGATTGTGTTATGGCCAAACCACAAACGCCTTCTTGAGACCCTGCCAGTTCCTGGTGGAAGCCAGGAAATGTATTTTTAGACCTCTATAACTCGGGCTAAGGGAACTGTGTACCTCCTAATGGTTGTCATCCAATGGATATAAATCGAACCTTTAAAGAGACAAAGCATATTTTGTAATAGTTATTTAACTCCAGATCTGATTTATAATAACTTTAATTCCTTAAAAAACTACTTTATTTTATTCCCAAAGAATATGCAGTAGACATATGAATGCATAAGAATTTGTCTGAGGAATCAGAAACCAACAATGCTTTTCTCTCCAAAACTTGTGATAAGATCAAATGTTAAAGGCCTATGGCAATTGTTTTAGATCTTAGAATTGAAAAAAAAATGCTATGTAATAACCCAATAGAAGCGTGCTATTAGTAATATATTTTATGGCATAATTTTAGTTCCTTCATTTTTTTATGTATTCAGGATTAAATATGGTTCACTAATTTTGAAAAATTAAAAAACTGGTATTTTACTAATAAAATCAGGTTTATGTTCTTTTTTATCAGAACATTGTTATGGTACCATAATGTTAAGTGGAGTAAATCAGACACATGAGTTTAAATATCACATAATTTCTCTTATATGAAAAATGCAATATATGAATAAAGTGTAAAATAAAAGATGATAGGAAAAAAGAGGAAAACTTTTTTTTCTCGTATAGACAATATATCTAAAACTGTACCCTGATTTAGTATAATATCAAGGGTTTTATTTATTTTTTTGCCTATTAATTGGTTGTTCATCTGTATATATGATAATTAACTTTATGATGAATTATAAGATAAACAAATGAGTATGTGGCTGGCAAAATAAAAGAGGGTAGAAGAAAGAGGAGAACAATTGAGATCAGTTATGGACATGTACCAGTTCCCTACAGTGAATGTAACCATTACATACTGCAAACATGTACTAATATAAATTGAAAAAATGTTAAAGTTAATATAAAAAGCTAATAATGATGTATATGCCAGACCACTATAAAGATAAGCTACTGCCTACCAGAATGGTAAAATTTGAAAAGACTGACAGTTCCAGTTTTTGCATAAAATTTATTCTCAGGCATTGCTGATAAGAATATAAATTGGTTGCAATCACTTTGGAAAACTGTATTAGTGTTTATTAAAACTGTACATATATCTATCATATGAGCCTAAGAGAAATAAACTTGTCTTTTTTTTTTGGTACCGGGGATCGAACTCAGGTCCTTGTGCTTGCACAGCAGGTGGCGAAACCACTGAGCTAAATCCCCGGCCTGAGAAATAAACTTTTATGTCCATCAGAAGACGGTCACAATAATGAGCCCACAGCTTTATTTGTAATAGTCCCCTACTGAAAATGA